AAAATTATTATATTATATACCTTTTCTAAGCAAGGCATTAAAAGTGAAGGGAAATCTCAGAGTGACAGTCGTGCAACAGATAGGAGAATGGTGTGAGATGGCTTCTGAAGAGTTTTGTGGTGGAAAAATGAAACTGGATTTTGGAAAATCTTAGAGAGGCTGACAAAAGATTTATGAAGAAGAGAGTGAGATGGCACATGCTGGTAATCCCAGCTACTCCAGAGACTGAGACAGAAGGATTACAAATTCAAGGCCAGCCTGGTCAACTTAGTGAGATCCTGTGTAAAAAACATAGAAACAAAATAAGGCTGGAAATGTAACTTAGTGGTAGAGTATTTGCCTAGAATTTGTAAGGCTTTGGGTTCATTCCTTACTATTGCTTAGGTCAAAGTTAAAGAGCGTTTCTATGGTAATGGTGTAAACACTCAATATTAATATACCAGAAAGTATTACGTAGTAATTTTGGAAAGTTGCAGATAAATGAAGAGAAATTTGTTAGGCAATATGGTATAGCACAGCTAAGTCATCTTCCACAGTACTGGTAGAGATAAATTGCTAAGGTTTAAATTTGGTAAATCAAGAGGGCTGGGGATTTAGCTTAATGGTTCTGCCACCTGCCTCATAAGCACAAGGTCCTGAGTTCAATCCCCAGTACCACACACACACATGCACACACACAAATAAAAATAGATAAATAAATAAATAAACTTGGTAAATCAAGAAATTATGGTATTAGCATATTGTGTAGTGATATGGAAATAAATATGGAAGAAATAGTTGAAAGAATAAAAAATGAACTCAGGACCTTGTGCTTGCGACGCAGATGCTGGAACCACTAATACTTGCAAACTGTAAAACCATTGCTCTCACACTTATCCTTAGGGTTCTACTATAGAATTTTCTTTTAAAACCACCAGTTCAATGGAAACAGCACAAGACAGACACTCAGGCTATCACAGCAAGTTTTAAATTACATCTCTTGTTTTTTGGTACTGGGGATTGAACTCAGGACCTCGCTCTTGTGAGGCAGACAGCAGAACCACTGAGCTAAATCCCCAGCCCTCATCTGTCTAATCTGTGGATGAAAATTTTAGCAAGAAAAAAGATGCTTCAATGTCTTTATATAGTTTCTCTTTAGACATAATATTAAACTATCAAAGAAACAAATTTAAAAAAAAGGAATTGAAAATGGTTGCTTCTTAGGAGCCATATTTCAGGATGGGGCAGGGACTTTGGTCTTACAAAGGTGTTTTTTTAAAGATACTGAGTAACTTATTAAATTGTGTGCTTATGTTATTGAATGAACTGTCTGTTCTACCAGACGTTAATATATGCCGAGTTACAGTGCATAATAATTAAAATGTATGATAAGGTTATTTCATCTCATGAGGCATATTTCGTACATTAAGCAGTGTAGTTCCTGAGATTCCAAAAAGGATTCCATATGAAAGCACTTTTATTTCTACCTGAGTCTGGTGGTATGATACGAAAGAGTAATATTGCAATAGGTTTCCTTGACAGTCTTTACAGTTATTACATACATATTCACACACAATGACTGAGGCTTACTTTTGTAGAAAGGGAGTTTTTGGTGCAGGTGATTGTAATTACTATTATAATTATTTTCTTATCTTCCGGTTAAGTAAAGGTGGATTAATTGGTCAACTTTTTATAATCGTTTTGGCTTTAGGAAGTATCACTAAATAAGAATTTTTCAGACAACAAGGAATCAGAAATAAATTTTTAGAGTTTTCATCCCAAGATTGCATTCATAGTAAAGTTGCCTTGATTATGCTTGTTACATAAGACGTTGGGGATATGACATTCTCATTAATCAAATAGAATGTTGCATTATTTAGTTATGAATATCAAAAAGCCAGACATTAGAAGAGAGATATGAAAGCCTAATTAATGATTTATCCTAATGCTTTGTGTTGATTTAAAAGATAACTAGAATCTACCTAAGAATAATAGACAAGACCTAAAGGAGGATTCTAAAAAGGTAAATACTACTTTTAAGATGTCTATAGTAGATGCTATACCCAGTGCAGAATACTTTTATATTAATTACATGGTGGTTGAGACTACAGAGTTTCCTAATTTCTAATTTTTTCATGTTTTCCTCCTGCTTTCTCTTCTTCCTTCCTTCTGCTTCATAGTAGCATGATTACTGTGCAACATTTTACACAAAATGATTCATCATTAAGCAGTTTTATTATTTTAGTGTTAAGCTTTGAAACACCTCTAAACATTGCATTTTCTTCCTGATGTCCTTTAGATTTTTTTTCTCTGAAAAGTGTGAGGACTATTATTTATGTTTTTGTACTGAGACGCTGATGTGATTTGGACCCTTTGTAAAGAGCACATATCTTTCAAAATATAAGTTTTTGTCCTATGTGTGCTTTTAATATCTCAATTAGAGTAGTAAAAAATGGAGTCAGATTTTGAAGATTGTTATACATTTGTTCAACACCAATACCGTAGATATTGTGATGCTGAATACTTATGTATATGCCATTGAAAGGGAGAAAAGAGCATATTGTGTGCTTTTATATGTTGCCGCACAAGGTTATCTTCATCTGTCTTTTCATGTGAGAATAAGCAGTTGAACAGGCTCTTAGCCTTTTCCCTTTCTTTTCTTTTTGTGGTGCTGGGCAATGAACCCAGGACCTTGGACATGTTAGGCAAGCACTCTACCACTGAGCTATATCCCTATCCCTGCAAAATGACTTTTTAAAAGAATACTCCCAGGTAAAATAATAAAAGTTGTGTCTCTTATGTCCCCATTTTAAAACAGTGCTAAAACTGTTTTCCCTTGTGTTTGCTAATCCTTAATAAGGAAGGAAAATTGAGATAGCGGCTTTTCTATATTAAGTCAAATGTTTGATTAAGTTTTATGGTATAAATCTTTGATATTAAGTGCCACACATAACTTTATTGTTTGCCTTAAATTTTAAGCATTTTATTTTGGAAATGGTGATTTTCTTCTAATTTCTATTGCTTATTTTTCTGTATGTGGGCAATTGTAAAGGCTGTGGCAGTTTCTCAGTGAATTGTGAAAGTAGTTCAAGATTCTGCCATTCTAGTTGTGAGGTTGTTTTAGTATTTTTTGGTTGTGATACAGAAATGTTTTAAAAAGTATTAAATCTGATTGTTTGAATTTACTTAGCATTTTTCTTGATATATTGCCTATAGAATTTATTAAAGGATTTCCATGTGAAATGTCATTTAAATATGACTTCAAAAATATAATATCAAGAATTTGATTTTCCCTCACATTAGACATAGTTATTTATGTTGAACATTATTCTGTTAATATATTAGGCTTATCTTAGAAGTTTTGTTAGTCACATTTCTAGTTTCTGTGTACACTTGTGTCTTGAGAAAATACTATGGTTTAATGATACTACTTGATATATCTAGTGTAATGGTCACTCAGCACTAAGTTTTTATTCATTTGTACTTGATTTTCTCACTCTGTAATTGTAGTATCCTTTTAGAATTAAGGATAAAGTCATGCAGAATTAACATTCTTTTTCCAGAGATTAAGAAAAAAAGTGAAATTATAGAAAAGTTTCAACTGTTTGAAGTCACAGAATAACTTTCTCAATATTTTGTAGCATGAAAACCACAACCTGAAAATTTACTCCTTGCCACTAAGGCTTACCAAGTTATTTTTCATGGAGAGGTAAATTTTTTATAGGACATTTTAAGTAAATTTGTAATTAAATATGATAAGATTGATCAATGGGACATAGAAATATTTGGGATTTTGTGCAAGATTACTTTATAATGGAGTTCCTTTATTTATGAAATATACAATTGAAAGCAACTATTTTTTCCTAAGTATAACATTATAGAATAATCTTACTTTCATAAAGAACAAAACCAGAACTGTCATAATAAAAAGAAATTATAATTTCCCTGATAAAACTTTCATGGATACAAAGGGGCTAATGGAGTACAGGAGGGTTTCATGTGTGTCTTAGTGTTTATAGAATTAGGCTTTTTCTTTTCTTTTCTTTTTTCTTTTTTTGCTACTGTTTTTGGACTTCTTTTAATTCTCCTATTGCCCTCACACGTGCCTCATTGACATTATGATGCATTCGTGTGGAAATTATGAAAAAGTTGTTTTCATGCAGCTGTCCTATCATCACAAAAGAACTTCACTGCATGAAAAGCAAACATATCATTCAGCAGACAATGCTTAATCTGTTCAGGAGCCCAAACCTATTGCTGTTCAATGACAGAAGAAAGGAGAGGGATTAATTTGAAGACGCTTGTGCATGACATATGGTAATTTCTCCATAGGACGGAAGTGTCAAATGGTGACCTCCAAATCTTAACGTTGACCTCCAGTTGTAGAATGTGTGTGCCATACGGTCCTTTTGCTTTTTCGCATGATAATTTAAGCTGCAACATTTTCCTGACAACAAAACTTTTTTTTAGGGGGGGGTTAGTTTATTCTATAGGAATTATGAAATTCACAGTAATTGCTTTTAATATAGACAGCATTTGTATCAGGAGATGCAATTGAAATGTTTTCACTGAATATTAGTTTGGGATATTTAAAAATAATTTACACATAATATGAGAGAGTAAACTTATAAAAATGTAATCAATAATATGGAGACTTATTTAAACATTTTTGTTATGAGATACATTTTAAAAATTGAATCACATTTTCTAATTCGTAATATGTTGAATTATAGTCTTCATCATTTTAGAGCTGTGTTTTGATGTCATTCATCTATAGTACTGAATATATTTTGACTTTAAAAGGAAGTTGAACTACACTGTGATTGTTTTTCAGTGAAATACATCATTCCCTACAGGAATCTTTAATAGTCATCCCTTTTGATTAAAACTTCATTTTTCAGTTCTGTGTTCACTATATTTTGCCAACTTTGTTTTTCATTCTTCACTAATACTGAGCTTTTTTTCAGAAACTGCTGTACCTCAATTTTCTCCTCTTTATTTCTTCTGTTTTCCTCTGCAAGTTGCTGCACCTGTTTCTGCTCGATCTGACGCTGATCACTCTGGCTCTGACTCTGCTTCTACTCCTGCTTTACATACCTGTTTCTTAGTAAATGAAGGTACTCTCTCTCAACTTTCTAACAACTTTTCTTTCAACCTTATGCTTTATTCTAATAGACATGTTCTTTTTATCTGATTTATACATTCATCTGCTTTGTTATATGTGAGATCCTAAACTTCCCACTTTGTAACTATTTGCTTATGTCAGTGACATGAGCCAGTTATAAAAATGTAACATTAGTCCTGGCTGCTCTAAACCATGATTGCAATATCATCTAAAATGCTACTAAAGGAGTGCAAAGATTCTAATCTTTGTTGTGAAATGAAAATTGAAAGGTAGGTTAGTCTTCATAATGTTACTTGCCATGTGCCAGAATTTGTTTTATGTACAGAAATAGTCTGTGGCAGACACACTATTTTGTTATTACACATTATATAGAGTATTGTATTATAAGGGGAGATGAGGGAGGCTCCTCATTTACATTCTCATTTGAAGTCATCAGATTGATTACAAGCTGATAGGAATTCACCTATCCTATTACTATTTCTGCTTCAGGCTGAGGCAACAATCCATTATTTTAATCTTTAGATTTAGTTGGGCTACCATATTATTCCTGTGGAGTTATGCAAGAGGAAACTAATTTTAAAGCTCTGAAAATGTAACTGGGATCTGCAAGTCTTTGTTCTCCAAAACTCATCTACGATTATTTATAACACTGGGAAACTTAATGGAACTTGTGAGTTCTGTGCAACACTGTCTACACTGCGGTCTCAATCTTTACTTGTTTGTATAATAAAAAAAGAGGGAAGTTACAAAAGCTAAACCATAACTCAGAATGATTCTGACTCTTCTCTAAAAATGTAAAACTGTGAGTCCGTTTCAGTGGAAGGAGTGAATCAGTGCGTATGAAATAGAGCGCATGTTGCAAGTAGCACTCCTTTGGAAAGAAAATGTGGTAATTTAAAAATAGAATTGCAGGGCCGGGGATTTAGCTCAGTGGTTTGGTGGCCTGCCTTGCAAGTGCAAGGACCCGCGTTCAATCCCCAGTACCCCCCCAAAAAAAAGAATTTCATTTTGTACTTGTTTTCTGGTAAAGCTGTACTAAAATTTGTGGATTAGAACTGGGTTTCAGCAAAAGCCAAGTAGGATTGTATTTGTTAAGCTGTTGTAAACCATAGATTTTAGTTAATTCTAAAATAAGCTGTTAGACTTTGGGCCTTGGTGAGAATAATAATGATAAGATTTACTATGAAATATATTTTATTAAATATTAAAATACTTTAAGAAAACAGAGTAGTAATACATGTATACATATACATGCATATATATATGTATCCCCATGTTGCAGAAAATAATAATTTAAAATGTGTGTGTACATTAATGTATTTACATATATATTATCAGTTGATAAGAATTTCCTCAAAGGATGAATCTTTAAATAGGTAATTTGTCTATTTCTTTCAGTCTGACTCTCCTTTTTACAATGCCAATCATCATTTTGAGTTTTATGGTTCATTATTTTAGAAGACTACAGATTAGAATATTTTTAAAACACCAATTTGCTGAAATCCTATGTTCATAGGTAACTTACCTTATCCTATGATAATGGGATTTTTTTCATTTTTGATATTCATTCTTGATTATTTGTCTTTAAATATTCTTGGGAGATAATGATAATTTTGTGCATTAATAACAGACTCATACATAATTTGAGAAAATGAGGCATTTAATGCATATATAGGGCTGTTTTAGAAACCTTTAAAATAGAGTTAAAATGATTGAGAATATCTGTATACTGATACTTTCAAATATTGCATTGGTACACAGTGTCTTTTTCATATATAATCAGATTCCATATTTTGAATTAGAATTTGGAAAATGTAACTTTTATTCCTGTAAGGAAGAGTTAATAATGTTAAGACTGTAAAGTTGGGGTGTTAGGTTTTTATTTTATGGAATATCTAAATTTATTTTTCCTTTCAAAATTGATATTGTGTTACTTATTTCAGTTATAATTGTGATGAAATGTCTAATTCATTCTGTAAGGTGATGGGTCAGTAACTGCCCTAATTAAAGGCCCTTGACAAAGAGAGGAAGACATCTTGTAACTGAGGCAGTAGCAACACACAGATGGCCGTGCCTCAGGTGACAAGAACCTGTCTTTGGATATATAAGTCCCTTTTGAACTGACGAGTTTCACAGCAATAGCTTTTTTAAAAATCTATTTATCTTTATCCTTTCCAACCTCCAAATGTATGTTTTATTTTAAAGTGGTCAGAAATGTGTTTTCCTTGTGAATTTCCTTATCCTTTGCGTGAATATTTTTGTTTTAAGATGTTGACAGTTTTTATAGATACCAAATACATGATACAGGGATAAAGTACATTTGGTGTAATTCTTTATATGGAATGTCTAATATTAAAATATTTATAACATAGCTTAGTAGATCTATTTTTTTGTTTTTATTTTTGATCCATATACATAAAGAGAAACTTTCCTGAGGGAATAGCAAAATATTTATAGCATTTGTGATATTTCACCTTTCAACAGGATGGAGTCAGTTAGCTGCCATGCACTGTGTTATGCTGCCAGACCTGCTGGGGCTGGATAAATTTAGGCCTCCTCTTCTAGAGATGCTCGCTCGGAGATGGCAAGATCGATGCTTGGAGGTAATGTTGAGGTGATAAAGACAGAAAACAAGAATACTAAAAATGATTAATCAAATGTAAATTTGAGGGCCAGGGATTTAGCTCTGTAACCACGCCTGTCTGGCAGGCACAAGGTCCTGAGTTCGATCCTCAGAACTGGGGGAAGAAATGCAAATTTGAAACAACATAGTTACTGTTTATAATGCTTGTCTTATTGGCTATTCATCATGTGATAGAGAATATTAACGCATGATTTTCATTTTTTTCCCCTTGGTTTATGTATTAAACAGTAATGTTCCAACTTTTTTTTTTTTATTCAGTGACTGTTTGATTAAAAAGTTCTATGTACTTTATATAATTTTTATGTGTGGTACTGGGGATTAAACCCAGGGTATACTCAACTAAGTCCTTAGCCGCTCTTCTTCCTTTTTAAAATTTTGAGACAGGGTACCGCTAAATTTTCCAGGCTGGCCCCTAATGCCTCAGCCTCCTGAGTTGTTGAGGCTCTCTATTCCAGACATGTACCACCATGTGTAGCTACAATTATTTCTTAAGTATTGGTTTCTTCATAAATCATACATACACATGCATAACAATGCATGCAATCACCTCGTTCAAGAACACATATTCAGCATATTCACATCAGTCAGATTCTAAGTGAATAGTTAGAGTCCAATGGAAGGTACTAAAATGAGAAAGTCTTTGGAATTAGAAGACAAATGAGTTTGAATATCAGTTCCAACAATTATTTACTGAATGACTTTGGACAGTTAGCCTATTTGAAACACATTTATAAAGTAGCGGTAATACTATAATCTTCCTGGGATTGCTGTTGAGTTCAGATAAAATAGTTTAAGTATAGGTTCAGATACGTAGTACTTGAGTTATAATATTGCTAGGAACTTGGAAATGTTTTATAAAGATTTTCCTTATTATCACATTTAACTTGCATGGCTTTAGTAGTTTTTATTGATCAGAGATTTAAACTTCGCATCTATAAATACAGTCATGAATTACCTAACAATAGGGATATATTCTTAGAAATGCATTTGTGGCTGAGTAACTTTGCTGTTGTGTGAATTTTATGCAGCGTGCTTACATAAACTAAGATACCTACTGTGTCACTAGGGGATAACCTTATGGTTAAGACCACCATCTTAGATGTGGTCTATTGTTGACTGAAATGTTGTTATGCAGGAAAAAACTAAAATATATTTGTCTTTCCTGTTCTCCCATGACTACTAGTGGGACTGCAGCATACTAAAATTTTAATGCCTTTGCATTGAATAATATTTGAAATCACTTCAAAAGTAAGTTATACTTAAAAACAACCTCCTTACTCAAACTCATACTCAGATGCTGCTTGAGTTAATTTTTTTCTTTTTTTTGGTACTGATGATCGAATTTGGGACCTTGTGTTTACAAGGCAGGTGGTGGCACCACTGATCCCCAGCCCTGCTTGAGTTATTCTTACAATTAAGAATTGTACTAAATTGATTGTTACATCACTTAACTACTTACTAGCTGCCTTGACCTCATGCCTATGGCACTCCTGCTAAAACAAAACAAAGTTAAAATCTATAAAATAAGAGTTGTTTGCCACATTAAAAAAAATTGATATAATTTTGAAAAATGGTTCTCTCTATGGGACTTAGTTGTACCTGTTACACAGGATTATAATTGCCTAGTTTGTTCATGTCTTAGTTATGCATGAATCAAGTGGATTTATGCATATTTGTATAAACAGTACCTATTTAGCATATACATTACTGTATCATATAACATTTTCTGTGTAAATTTAAATTTCTACAGGCTGAGAGAAAACAAATTTAATATTTATAACAATGACTCCATCGTAATATCTATGTGGAAATTTAAAATTTGAAAATGCTTATTGGAATGCGAGAGTACTTTGGAAAATGAAATTTTAAACTCAAGGCTGGTTAAGTGATTAATTTTTTACTTTAGTGTTAAATATTTTAGAGTGAATCCATTAATTGAGGTGTCTGGTCTTTTGTGAGATGTGAAGCACTAGCATCCAATATATTTGACTTTAAAAACTTAATTTATTATTTGGTAGTTTGTTTTGTTTTGGTACTGGGGGATTGAATTTGGGACTTTGCCCTTGTGAAGAAGGCAGCAGGAACACTGAACTAAATCCCAGGCCCATTATTGGGTATTTTTTATCATGTAAATAAATATGCTTTCTGCTTTTTAGCTTTGTTTTCATATGAATTTTCTCATTTATAGATATTTACTTTCCCAGCTCATTTGCTTTCTTTTGTTACATTTGTTTCTATGACCTTCATAGGTGAGAGAAGCTGCACAAGCCTTGCTTCTGGCAGAGTTGAGAAGAATTGAGCAAGCGGGACGAAAGGAAGCCATTGATGCCTGGGCTCCTTATTTACCTCAGTATATGGATCATGTCATATCACGTAAGTGTTCTCATGCTTTCTAACAGAGCTTTGCAGGCACGTGTAGAAAGAGCACCAAGCTTTCAAATATGCATGCTACTCTCATGTATATCATGTACACATCAACAAAAGTAAGTCATCTATTTTATTTTATTTAATTCATTAATTAATTTTGTAGTGGGGATTAAACTCCAGCCCTTGCCGTTGTGAGGCAGGAGGTGGAACCACTGAGCCAAATCCCAGGCCACATCATCTACTTTAAAATGAAAAGAAAATGTCCTCAAATTGTGTTTCCTTCTTTTTTTATTAATTATAGCTTGGAGTTTGATAATTTAAAAACAATAGCAAAACAACCTAATATCAGAATATTCACTAATGAATTTAACTCATAAAATTAATTCCCAATAAAAAAATTCCTGTTCTATTTAACACTAGCAACTTTCTCTGCCCATTGTATTATTATGCTTATGGATGCCAATTGGTCTTGATTGATGTGGTGATAGGAAATACAAATACATGACAATAACCCTTGCAAGTTGAGGTTGGAATTATGACTCCTTAAAAAGTGTAGGGACCAGGGATTTAGCTCAGTGGTGGCTGTGCCTGCCTTGTAAGCATAAGGTCCTGAGTTTGATCCCTGGTACCAAAAAAAGAAGTAAAGATCTGGTAGAGTTAGGCTAGTATCCTCTTGCAAAGAGAAAATTAGCGAGGATTTTGACTGGCAGGTCTTTCAAAAGTGTGTAGACCAAGTGTGGTGGTACATGCCTGTAATCCCAGCACCTGGAGAGCTGTGTGTTCAAGGCCAGCCTGGGCTACAGAGCCAGAGTCTGTCTCAAACAACCAACCAACCATCCACCTAACTAATCAAACAAAAAAACTGATTGGCTGGGGAGGTAGCTCAGTGGCATTGCACCTGCCTGGCAAGAACAAGGTCCTCAGTTTGATTCTTGTACTGGGGAAAGAAATAAACAAACAAACAAACAAATAAAAATTAAAGAAATAAATAACCAATAGTCAAGAGAGTACAGTGTGAAGGATTAGGAAAATTGTTATAAGTTGTTAAGATATATTTTACAAAGTGAAGCCTTTATAATCATGTTGTTAGGTCATATGAGCATTGGAGAAAAAACATATTTGCTGTCATAATATTTTTGTTCTCAGAAAATTATGCTTAACCCCAATTTGTAATATTGTTTGACTCCTTTATACTAAAAAAAAAGATTGAGAATTTTATTTTGAATGATATTGATTATAGGATAAATTATCTTACATTTTTAAGATAAAGCCTTGCCTGGTATGGTGGCACATGCCTGTGTAATCCCAGCACTCAGGTGGCTGAGGTAGGAGGATCATGGTGAGTTCGAGACCAGCCTGGACTACACAGTCAGTTCCAGGTCAGTCTCAACTACATAGTGAGACCCTGTCTCATAAAACTAAAAAACTAAAAAATAAAATAAATAAAATAAAGCCTTAACAAAACTTGCACAAACCATTTTAATATATTTCTTCTGGATTTTAGGTGGATTCATTTTTAAATAATATTTTGATAATATCAGTTATTATTTTTGGTAATGAACACTCATCCATTTGTCATATTCCTTGCATATATCAAGATAGTGCATGGTTGTTCAAAAAAGGAAAACAAAATTCTAAAATAGTTATAACTGTCATACTGATCTATCTATCGGTATTTACCAGTAATGAGTATAGCAGGTGTTTAATTAGTCATGTGACCATGGACACTTGCATTAAAGTTTCTTAGCCTCTGTATTGTCACAGCTAAAAATTAAAATTATAATAGGACTTTATAGGATTATGATGAATATATGAATTAATCTTTAAGTGCATAAGATAGTACGTAGCTCGTAGTGAGCATTATTTGTTAAATAAATGCAAATATGTTTTTTTATATATAACCAAAAAAACCAAGCAATAACAACTCCAGTTAAAATTTGTATTCATTTGAGCCCTAAAAAATTTATAGTGAATATTGATTTTTATTTGCTTAATGAGAATTTTCCTATTCTAAGATAAAGAAATTAAGTTTGAAAACTAGGATCACTACACATACGTAAAATATTAGGCCTAAAATTCATTTAAAATATGTGTAGATGTAAAAAACAGATTTTCAGAATATATAAATATTTTAAAAAATAAGATTGGGATGAAGAAACTCTGCATATTTGAATAGTCTAGAACATATTCTTTATTCATAACTTGTGGGTTTATGATATTTCAAAAAAGTAGAATTTTATTGATCAGCTTATCATTAATTATTAAATCAAAGACCCTCAAACTTAAGGACCAATGATGCATATAATGCTGTAGAGTTTTTTTGAAGGTGAAACTACACAATAGTAAATACTAAACGTGCTTGTAAAAGGAGAATATAGTTATGAAAATATGAAGGACATTTAAAAATATCTTTATTTAGAATGGAATAATGTAAAGCAGGGAAATGAATTAAAGTAGAATAAGTAGCTAGGAATCTATTGAAGAAAGGGATATGAAATTCAGACTTAAATGTGTATAAGATAGAATGAAAGATAATTTCTAAGCCTTGATTACTTATTACATATAAAAGCCCAAGAAAAAATATCAAAGATTAATGTATTGTATTTTTGGCGGTTTAGTAAGAAGGGTATTATTAGCAATTGTAGTAGATGCCATTTTGTTTCTTTTGTTCCTTAATTAGCTGCAAGGTAAAGCTATGGTACAGTCACAGATACTCCTTGAAGCAGTGACTGAATTGCATACATTGCCAGGTGAGAGAGGTCTGTTGTTGGTTCTGGAGAGGATAAAATATAAGTACAATAATGAACATACATTCTGTGAATTGGACACTTTTTCTGTGTCAGACTTTGCTAAGTACTTGGTCTGTGTTATTTCATTTTACATTACAAGAAGCTAGTAAAGTAGATAGTTATTCTTACTCCAACCCCTGCCCCTGTTTTGTTTTCTTTCACAGATGTTAACTGAGGTCAGAAGAGAGTAAGATTTTTCTGAAGGTTCTTCAGATGCTTTAAGGACTGTCACTCTAAAATTCATTTTCTTACTCAGTATTTACTTTCATCCAACTTACTCCAGCATCATTAGAACTTAAATGGTGGTGGAGAAAAATAGTTATGTGGCTTAATTAATACTGCTTTCAGATGCTGTCATTTTCAGCCACATTATGTTCAGCAACAATACAAAGTGGAGCAAAGAACAACTGTTAAAAGTTACTCTTTGATAGCTCCCATCATTGTTTAAAAAAAAAAGCATAAAGTAATCTTAAAGCTTTCTATTTATAAAATTAGATCCTTTTTAATTAATTGGTACCCTTGAGTTCTTCATAAATAAACTGAATGCTAGCTTAAAATTTTAGTCTTGTCACTTACTGTAATTGACTTTTTGGTGAGAGAGTAAACTTGCCTTCTACATGTAACTACAGCATCACACATTAACAATTTTTGATACAATACATAAATCGATTCTGGAACTTTTACATTGACTGAGTGTAAAATTAGTTTTAGCTCGCTTTCCTGGGAGCTTTCTATTTTAATAAAAGGATGTCATGCTAAAGGAATAGAGATTCTGAACATATTAAAAGAGAAGAAAGCATACAACAAATGAGGAATGACCACATAGGGCTGTTGAACAGATTTGCTGTCTGAAGGGATCAAAAGGTTATGGAGCCAGCTGGTGGACAGCCCACACCTGCCAGCCACGTGCTTGTAGTGAAATTGCTTCTACCATTGTCATTAATATTTGAAGAGATGGTCATGATAGCAAGTTAAATCGTAAGGCATTGTTGTAGAAACTTACAGCATGTTTCTAGCATAGGAATATTTATCACTAACATAGGCAAAATATTAAACAATATATCTGGTGAATATACCACTTATCATAAATTTTCTTATACTGTAATTATTCTAAGCATTAAAAAATATGCAATACCTGTCTAAGGAATATTGGCAGCGCCTAACTTATGACCGAGCTTTGTGTAAAAGTCCCTTTATTACATACTTGTCTGATCTCATAAAATGCTTTTACCTAAAGAGCAGAATGTCATCCCGGACTCTTGGACTGTGATAGCACTTTATCTTTGAGATGTGGGGTCAGAGGTTTAAATGAATGGTAACTTTCTGGGAATTCACAGCCAGTAAGTGATTGAACTGGGACTGAAAGGACAACTCGAGTCAACTGGCCATATTGATGGAACACTCTGTATTTTATTTAGGTACATCATGCAGTAAAAAGCCTTTTGCAGGTTTGTCCAAGAACCACAGAATGTAATGGGCAGGACTAGTTTCTTTTCTCAGAATTCTTGAGAATGTTACATAGTCACATTTTGCAGAGCATTCAGCACGGTGCCTAATACAAGTAGTGAATTTTGGCTGCTGCCCCCTTTCTTTCCCTGTATTGGTTTCTGTATTGTTTTGTTTTGTTGCTTTGCTTTGCCTTATTGCCACTGCCTCAGAATTCACTTTAATTTATATTGCCCAGGGATTTGGAAATAGAATAGAGATCACTGGGGGAGGAGCACATTGTGCCTTAACTGCAAAGCCACAGGTTTTCCTAAGAACCAAGTCCTCAATTATTGACTTATATGAGAATTTGGCTTCAGGTTATAGAGTGCCATTTTTGAATCAGTCAGGATTTATTAATTTATCTTTGAAAATTGTTATGAACATTTTATGCCTAATTTTTGATAGAAAATTTAAGGATTTCATTAAACATTGTGATTTCTATTTCAGTGGTAAGAAGACTCAAATTACAGATACTGCGTTCTTTAATATGGACTTACAGAGATCTTGTAAATCCTTTTTGAGCCATCATTTTATAGCATGTTATGTGATCATTTTTATATTGCAAAAGCGCTTAAAGAATTCTACTGACTATTGTTAAATCGGGATTAATGTGATTTTTGTGAAACCATTGAGAGTTTGGATGAAGATGAATGTTATAGATTTCTGAGATTTCTTTTCAAGTGAAGATATTGTACCGAACTCACTTTATATATTTCTTGTTTGTGACAT